GCGTGGAAGGTCGTGGTTGAGGTCCGGCAGGGAACACTGGGCGTGGATGGTCGTGGTTGAGGTCCGGCGGAGGACGAGGAGGAGAAGGAGGAGGAGGAGATAGGGCTGACATAAAATCTAACAACCCTCACCTGACAGGTGGGGAAAATAAAAAAGGTGACATAACAATAAGAAGCTACTAGGAACCAAGGGCATCGCTACTAGTAGCAGGGACGCTACTATTAGCTCCTGGTATTTCTACCAATAACAAGAAGCTTAGCTTTCTAGTAACTAGAGTAACTAGAAGCTACTAACTAGGGGCTCCTGGCCTTACTGCTAGGAGCAAGGACGCTACTAGGGGCTCCTGGCATTACTACTAGTAGCATTCTTCCTACTAGTAGCTAGAAGCTACTAGTTCAATCATTTGCACTTTGCACGAACAGATCGCTGACCTTCAGGGAGCGGATCGTTGGCTAAAGCTTCCAGAGCTGTCTGGTGGACTCTGGCTCGCTCTGCATCGATCACTTGGCTGCAGCCAGCGAACAACAAGCATCGGAGGAAACTATGGAAGGCATTAATCATTTGAATTTAGCATTCAACCATTACCACTTCCGGCATATTTGCCAGCACCTGGACCATACAAAACGAGCCGAAATGACAAATGGAAACCATTGGTCAATTCATGTCAATTCACAATGAATCTTAAACTCTCCAATACTAGCAGGAGTGAGTGTTCCCAAGAGATTGATACCGCCTTTGATGCCACTATCTCCATGTAACTGTAAAGCTGACATGTGAGATTCCTCCCGAGAGGTTGGGCTGCCAAAAAGTATTGCTTTTCAGCTTGGGCACAGGGACCACAGCGCAGGTGGCTGAGCTCTTGTGGTGTGAAACTTTAACCCTGACGACGCCTAGTCGTGCCAAGAAGCCAGCACTCCCCAGGGTGAAGGCTGGTAATGTAAAATCCTAACAACTAAAACCTCGAGAGTCATATCATGTGAACAGAAGAGCAATAAAGCCCAGCAAGCAAGGGATGCTGCCCAAGAGACACTTTGCCCTTCCCAAACTTGTCAATGAGTTGTCGGACCCCCCAGTCGTGCTCACGCCTTCGTTGGACGAACTGTCACCTGTGGTGGTGCTTGCACTCGCACCACCGGGTATCTGACCAGCCCTTAGAGCCGCCACTTGCTCCGCAGTGATGTCGTCCCCTGCATTCAGAATGGGGAAGCTCAGTGAGGCCTCCAAGGGTAACATGATCTCCAACAACCAGCTGTGAATAGCCAAAACGTTCCCTCTTCCTACTACAAGCTGCACAAACTGCACCTCCCAAAAAACATATTACTGTATAATCTATGCAATAACCTCTACTCAGCCTACTCATGGCCACTGCCTTGCCTCTGCGACTTGTCGGCATTCTGATTGAGTTGCTCCACTTCGTGGCTTGAGGTTGGCTTCCCAGGCATCATCACCTTTGTGTCCCTGATGAGCCCATGCAAAGTCACACACCACAATGGGGGCATCTCCAGTCGAATCAAATCCACAGCCAAGCATGGTGTGGTTGTGCCACAAGAGGAGAACCATGTGGCCTTACTTAACTTGGATTGGCCTCGACTACACACATCTCAACAGGGGCCTTCTCCTGTTGAGTAATCTAGAATATGGACGTGACATCATTGAAAAATGTTCACGCGATCTCAACCAAGCTGCCAGAATTGTAAGAGCCGCCAGCATTTTGAACCGCATTGATACTGAAGTTGTGGACGCCTATCTCGGCATACCATGCTTTGGCACCGCGTACGCAGCTGTCTGTGCCCCAAGTAATCACTTCAGTGTAGTGAGGAAAGAAGCTGCCACCTGCAATTCTGTTGGACTCAAATTTGCAGTTCTGGAACATAGGAAGACTTGGTGAAAAGCAACATAGGACATAGTTTGAAGAGGTTGAGAAAAAGCCAATAGCTGTCTGTGGTACAGCAGTCTGTGTCACAAAAAGGCCGCGTGCGAAACACACCAAAAACTGATCCAAGATTATCCAAGTCCAGCCAGGCTTCCCCAGTTGGAATGAATGCTGCCCTTGTCCTTCTTGCTGGCCCACTCCTGTGCGCTGGCTGCAATCCCTGCGTGATAGATCAAGGGAGGTGCTCCATGTAGACAGCGGTAGTAGTTGATGTTTAACATGCAGCACTCCGCAGCTGTGTGGCCAGCACAAGACCTTGCCCGCATTGATTTTGCTTGGCTTGAAGCTTGGAACATATTTGCAAGCAAATGTCAAGAAAAAGAAGTGGGATCTGATAGGTTGCTCATGAAAACTCACGCACCTTAAATGGATCTTGCCGCCATGTCAGGAGTCATGCTTTTCTTGGCCAATGCATCGTTAGGATCCTTCTTTAGCTCATTGAAGTATCTTCAGGTCTGTGGCGAAAGACCTAACCCGAATAGGTCTTAGGAAGTCAGCAGGGTTGACCAAGACACGGAGGCTCCAGAATCTCCCACGGCTGCTGCAGGAAGCTCGGCTCGTAGCCATACTTCGCCAGAAAGGTCTGCTGATCGAAAGTGACCATCTGGTAGCTCCCATAGCCTTAAGCAAGTGCATACAATTCTTTTCAACAAGTCAATGTCCAATTAGCCCAGCTCATTCAACCTGTTTGCAACAAAAGTTCAATTCTAATGTTTCCAAATGACACTGGCCCAGTTGGTGACATGCTGTGCCTCCCATGTCTTGAGAACAATCACTATTCCAGCGCCTGGTGCAAGCGTAGGTGCTGTTGATACTCTCTAGCGTGTAGAAGGACTGGCTATTCCTTTCCCAAACGGTGTTGCATTCACCTCCATCTTCGATGGGCCCAAAGCAAGCGTCTGGATTGCTGTTCACGTAGTCACAGGCGGCTGGACAAATGTAATTTGCATCTCCAGTCCGATCGCACTTCACTTCAGATCCATCCACTGTCACAGTCAAATTGGGATCACCAGAGCTTAAAACAGAGCGTGGCCATTTGCATCTGTACACCTTGGCTGCTGTAGCAAGCCATGCGAACCATGGCAACCACAGCACAAGCTGCATGTCTACGGATGGCCTCTACCAGCTCTTCCGTGCAGCTTGAGCTTGAGCAGGTAGTTGAGTCTCAGTCTCATTCTGCTTCAAGCTTCATCTGCTGTCAACAAACATCAACATCCAAGCTTTAATGTTTGGTACAAGTAGCATGCAGCAGCACTTGACATGTGCCGTGCCGTCCGGCCTTCGAAGCTCGCTTCGCTGGGATTGTGCCATGCACTGTGAAACGGCAGCTTCTCTTGTGATTCTGCTTGCATGTGGACGCATCGCCTAGCACCTGAAGTACATGGGTGGTTTTGTCCGTGTTCACAAGTGGTGTGGACGAGCACAAACTCAGCTCAGTCTTGTGGCAGTTTACTCAGTGTGTGCAAAACCGAGGTTTAGTCAAAGACCTGGACCTCGTGGACATTTTGCCGACCAACTAGACTTGGATCCTCCATCACGCTAAGAAAACCCACAGCAGCACTGGAGCTGGCTAGGTATCACTTTCCACAGTCCGTGAGGCACACTACGATTTTCTGAAACAAACCCCTGCAAGCGTATCCAGCATGTTGCAGTGTTGAATACAATCGAAGGTGGTTGTTGAGTGTTGTTCAATTATATATTTGCCAGTTGAGTGGTGTTCGAAACGTTGCTGCTCCATTTGGCAATATTGAATTTGTCAAGCAACATATGTAGTCTTCCTTGATTGGTACGGAGGTCAAATAGACAGCAAATGCCGTCAGCACGGACAAACACAAGCAAACTGCTGCCTCTTTTGCTCTGCCAGCTGTCAGAAACGGATTATTTACAAACTGACTTGGCTTCAAGAATATGTCATTGTGTAGAATGGTAGCCCTGCCTCAGCCATCGATTTGACGTCTATTGGCTCAACAGCAGCCGGAGTACTACATGGGCAACACACAACTCATGTTCTATCCCTTTCAAGCCGCTCTTCTTTGATGTCAAACAACATAACTAATTAATTACCTCAACAAGCTTCAAACCCGTTCAACAAAGAATCTAGCCTCTTTAGATCCCACCTGATCACCCCTGCCTTGGCTGCAAAGGCCCACCAGCCCCACAACCTTTTTTCGACCCGTTCTCCGCACGTTCTCGTCGCAAGGCTTCCAGCTGACGCCGCACCACGAAGGCATCGCCGATCCTGGGATCGAGACAGATCGAGGGGAAGAGATGGCCTTCAACCTACTAGCGATGGCCTCCAATCTAGCAATGACCTCAAAGCCTCATTGTTTGGGGCAAGTCTCTTGGAAATATGTATCTCAATTTTTGCATTGAGCAGTGGGATGATGATTCCTGCTTCCTTTAGAAGCCGCAAGAAAAGATTCAGACTGATAAGACAAGGGCTCATCGGAGCACACCGCTTCAGTGTTTGTTAAGCTTTTTGAGCGGATTGGTTCAAGTACTGTTTGAAACCAACGGTTTATGTGCTCAGGCGGTTGTGCAAGTCTTGCAAAGACCAAACAGAAACAGCTTGGTTGGGGGTCTCCTTTTTGACAAACACCCCCACATGAAGCATTGTAGTATCACAAAAAGGGTGGATGCATATACGATACGATACACTTTTATTCTGATATACTTATTGTGGACTTTGAGTGGGTTCTCAAAAGTGTGCGGGCTGATGTAGACCGGAAGCCTCAGGTGCAAACAAGATGCAGGAACCGAATAAAGTTATCCCCGCGCAACGGTCCCAATGCCTCAGTTATCTGGGCCCTTTTTGTTGACAGTTCAACCGGTTTACATATTCTGAGAGTCTGAGAGATGTTTCACAATGGTTACAATGTCTCACATATTGAAGCTATTGAAGAAGGGCTTTGCGGAGCAAGCAGGGAGTACAATATCACCCTGCAGGCCTGATGTTTTCACTCGTACATGGGTGACAGATTACAACGCCATCAACGCCACTCATGTAATTGCAATCTATACCCACTACTTGCAAAGCCAAGGAGCGAAAACATTCTCATGCAGGACCTGGTGGTGCTAAAAGCATTTTAAAGCAATTGAAACCTGTTGATTTCGTCACCGATGTACAATCTATGTACCCCCGCTCATCTTCAAGAAAGCAACCTTGCGTGCAGGTGCTATCATATGCAAAGATGATTATAGCAATCTGTTGGATCTGCTCTGGTAATATTGACATGTAGCATTTACTTGAAACAACCTCAACCTATCGCATTGTGGATCTGTGGTTCTACGCTAGCAGCCTGGATCAAGCATGATCACACCGAGGCCTGGCCAGTCTTGGTATCCGTGAGCTGTAGAGTCTCTGGATTCACCTGCTGTAGGCCCAGCGATTACAACAGTATTACAACAGTACTGCTAGTGGCGATAGTGGTGAGCGTCTCTGTTCAAAGTGATGATGATCCTATCAAGTTCTCATTGGCTGCACCTTGCTCCTCATGATTGAATAGATCTGGACTCCAAGAGAGCCTTACCGTGCCATTTCATTGCACAAAAGCTCTCTGCATGTCCCACCTCCAAAAAGTAAGGATGGCTGCTGGGCTGACCATCCTGGCACCAAAGGCTGAACGTTCGGTGTGGTCCGAGGCGTCAGGGCGAATGGTCAAAACAAGTGGCTAAAGAAAGAACAAAGAAACCTAGTAGCTTCTTGTTCCTAGTAGCATCCTTGTTACTACTACAGTAGATGGACCAAATATTCAAACCCATGTACCAATAACTGTCGCCAACCCCTGACCCCCAAAGGTCAATGTTGAACATAACTTGATTGAATTTGTGTTTCCAGGGTTTGATTTGTTTCGTCCATTCGCCGAAACATTCTTGCAAGACCTCTAACATTGAGCTTTGGGGTAGAAGGGGTCCACGTGGTTGAAAGGGTTTGAATATTTCGT